ATATTCAAACAAAACAAATAAAACTAAAAATCATCAAAGCAGGTTTATCAGATCATAATGCTATACGAATAAATATCAATAACATAACAAGCAACACAAAGGATTACAAGATATTAAATATAACAAGAAGAGACGAAAGCGGCATTAAAAGGAACCTAGAAGAACTGAAAAATCAAAATATAAAAGATTTTGAACAACTATCGAAAGCTATAAAAGACATAATAGATAAAAACGAACAAACTATCAAAATAAGAAGACGAGAAGAATGCCCGTGGATAACGAGAGAAGTAATAAAAGAAATTAGAAAAAGAAATAAACTATATAGCAAACGTCGCAAGAACATAAATAATCAGATACTCCTTGAAAGATACAAAGAGCAAAAAAAAACAACTGATTTTCTAAAGCAATCAAAAATTAAATACTTCAAAACAATGTTTTAAAAGCATTGCCTAGACTACTAAAAAACCTGGAAATTAATAAACCAAGAATTAGGAAACAAAAACAAGACAAAAAAACAAATAACAGAAATTAAAAGTACAGACGGCATAAAGACCACTAACCAAACAGACATCGTGAATGAAATCAACAATTACTTTGCCTCAGTTCGAAAAATACTAGCAGAGAAACAAATATCGACTATTTATCGACCAAACCAAACCAAATCAAAACTCTAAGAAAAAACATAAAACCCCAACTCAGCTGCAACAAAACAGAGAAATTATTTATTTAGAGAAATAAAGCAGATTATAAGCAAAATGAAGAAAAACAATGCTCCAGGTTTTGACGGTATAACAAATGACTTTAATATTAAACATAGGAAATTTCTAATTCCATCACTAAATAAATTAATTAATAGCACGCTAAAGAGCGGTATATATCCTGAAAACCTAAAGCAGACCATCTTTATACCAGTACATAAAAAAGGAAACCGTGATGAACTACAAAACTACAGACCAATATCATTACTCTCTTCACTCAACAAAATATTAGAAAAAGTAATACATAACAGAATATCATATCATATATCAGCTAACAATATAATATACAAACAACAGTACGTCTTTCAGACCCAAACAGGCACTACATCCGCTGTACTAGATATAATTGAGAATATTACAAATAATCTCAATAAAAAGAAAATTACTGTAGTAGTATTTATTGACTTAAAGAAAGCTTCTGACACCATATCTAAAGACAAATTAAAAAAAACTATTTAAAAAATCGACCACAAAAAATTTGCATGGAAAATATTGAAAGTAAAACTACCATGGCGCCATATGGGATACTGCAAGGAGGAAACCTACCACCGCTCCTGTATATCCTTTATACAAACGATCTCTGCGAACTAGCATTAGATGGCGTCATAAATGGATATGCCGACGATACATGTTTAATATATTTTTTCTTTAATATTTTTTTAGTTTGTCAAGTTATTGTTTAAACAGGTATTTAAACCTATTTTACGGGAAATCTTCAGTGTTACAGATAAAGTGCGGGTCACATTTTTTTTATTGGTTAAGGTCAAATTTGACTTTGGGTATATTTAGTGATTTGACAGAATAAAAGTTAATGTGTTCCTTGTCAATATTTTATATTATAAGAATTATACATTACTAAAGACCCCCACAGACGCTCCTTACGATTAATTGATCCCTTTATAGAGTAGAAAAAATAAAAGATATTGATTCGGAAGAAAATAGGGATTAAATTAAAAAGTTATTAAAAAAATCAATAGCTTAAAAAGTTCTTTAAGAAAAAAAACTAAACATAGTATTCAAAAGTCATAATTTAGCATAAAACTGCACAGCTTCAACTGCGCAAACAGGCATGCACAGTCCGCTTGGGTTAAAGAACTGGGCGTCTGTGGGGGCAATAAAAGCAAACAAGATTGACACTACAATAATAGGAAGTACGGTAACTGCAGTATGCATAGGTTATAAAAATATTATTTGTTTTCTCTCAAAATATTATCATTCTGATGCGTTCTCGGCTTTGAAAATCCTTTCGTTGTATTTCGAACAAACATTAAATATTATCATAGAGTAAAATAATTGAAAGCTTTTTTTGTGTATAAAACAGGGTAGGTACCGTTTAAAAGTCTTGGTTTAGTGATATGTAATTATTGCTTTTTAAAGAAAAGTAAACAAAAATTAATATTTGATAAAAATTATTATTCTATTTTTTTAGTTTTTATTATAGTGTAAAGTTTTTAATTCGTTATCTGTCTTTTGTCTTTTATATATGATATATGATGTTTGGCGTATTGTCACCGGATTCCGTATCGCTCAGGCCTGATAATTTATTTGACACGCTTGGCGTAATTTTTACGTTCTCTAGTCGACAACCCTGGTATCGTTTCACCGCTTCTGTGGAGGACTGTCAACATCGTTTCAAGGCGTCTCTCTGCGCTTTAACCTCACTTTTGGTTTTGCCGGTTGGGTCTGGCGCCATCAGCAACCCGGCTTAGAGAAATTGCAGTTATTTAAATCTTGCTGCATAATCTGAATTAGCTGCTATTTCGAAGCTACAGGTAAAAATGAGATATTATCTTTTTTAGATTCGATACTATTACTGCGTATTTTTAAGGTAGAGTTTTGGATTGGCCCAACTCAACTCGTTTTGGTGTTTGCTGGCAGGTTGGTTTTCTTTTGTCCTCCAGAATGTTAAATAGAAGAAAGGACAGTTTTTTTGTTTATTATTGAGCCCTCGGAAGTATTTCGAGATGGGTTTATTGTGTTTATTACACCTTGGTAGATTTTAAACACGAGTTTCGAATTTTTAGGGTCCAAGGTACGGATAGTTTTCCTATGGACGGGTGTCCACTGTATGAATAGTTCGTCTCAGGTACAGATTGCCCCAGTATGGATGTAGTAAGCTCCATGCTGTTTTGCTCCTGTTCATAAGCCTAGCTGGCAGTTACGGCTATATTGGTTCATGGTATCCTCATCCTGGTCCCTTTCCTTGTATTAGCAAATAGTGAAGCCGCAACCTGAGGCCGAAGTCCCACCTCACGCTCTACTGTTTGAAGCAGGATTGCCTAAAGAACGAACAGCTAAGTTTAAGTTTAAGTCTTAGTTTATGCTTTACAAAATATTTTACATCTCAGTCTTAAATAATATCGTACAGACTGTACACTTAGTGGTTCAATTACTTGTGTCAGATTAGTATTTAAAATATGATTTAGATCTTAGGTTTCATTACGAAGATATATCTTGTAACAGTATTACTTTCTGTAAATATCTATTGCGTGATTTTGTTATCTATTGAGATGAATTACCGGACATAGGTTCTAGAATCTACTGCTTGCAACACCTCAGATTTAACATAGTGTAAAATATAACAAATTGAATAAAGTAATGCTACTTTTTTTATATTTTTAATAGCTAATAGCATTTCTACAGACTTATCTTACCTGCCTATTTTTTAGTTTTGTCAGAGGTTTACTGTTTTGAGTGAAATCTCAAATGAATTGGATAACCTATAATTCATCGTAGGAGGTGGCAACATTGCATTTCTCGCCAAGCGTTATAAACAAAGTTCCCGAAACTGAACAAGCGGCAGTCAAAAGTGTTTCAATACTTTCCGAAAAATATCAAAAAACTATAAAAATTTTCAACATTTTTTTTTTGCAAGAAAAATGCATGGGCTTGTTTGTGGGTTCGAACTATATTACCAGTTAAAATATCTGCACATATTTCTGGGACACCCTATATAAAATAATAACTAAAAATATTATTTTGAAGAGCTACATTATGACTAGAAAACCATAAAAGCTCTTTTCCAGTTAAAAGTTTCAAGTCTGATATATTACCATTTACCCTCGCATTTACCTTAATAGTCACAAAGGAGTAAAAAAATGTTCAGCAAATGAGAAAATGAAGAAACACATTGCTAAAAATTGTATTAATCAATAATAAATATGTAAAAAGTAAAAATAAATATGTAAAAATTAAAAAACACGATTAAGAAAAAGTCGCCTTGACTAGGCTTCGAACCTGCCTTACTACGGCTACAACGTCATAGCAGCGTAAAGTCCTAACGCTTTACCCACGTGGCCACCGAGGACTTGAAAGATTCTATGTAAAATTCTTACTTAAAAGATAATGTTTAGTGAAAGTACTTTTTTATTTATTAACATTTATTTAATTCTGTTTTTAGTATTTGTTCTTATAGCGGCAACATACATACATTATCTGTAAAAATGTCAACTGTCTAGTTATAACGGTTCATAAGATAGACCTTTGTGACAGACGGACGGACAGCGAAGTCTTAATAAGAGGGTTCCCGTTTTTACCCTTTGGGTACGGAACCCTAAAAATGACCGTTTTTGCATTTATACTATTTAAAACTTTTTAACGGTTTTGCAGATATTCGCGCCATTATTACATGTGGGTCTTTGAACGGTAAAATATTAGACGAAAATCATTAGGTGTCTTTGATAAAAATATACTGTTGAAAGTGTCATATATAATATAATACCTCGAATATTTGAAAAACCGTTAAAATTCTGAAATATTTTAAATACGACAAATAATAATTTCTTAATTTTGTATCTAAGAAAAAAATAGTATACCTACAGGATATTCCATTTACGAAAAATTCTTTTATATTTTAGAAAGTTTGGCGTGGAAATTTGTACACCCTGTATGATTTAAATTTATTATATTTATAGCATAGTACATATACTTGTATTCATTTAAAACTTCCCAATATGGCGGACTTCAGTATGGGAGGCTTAAAAAACGAAAATCTCTAGACTGGAATCGACTGTACTTCAAATCGTTCAAATTGATAATCTGTGGTAGATCCAGTTGAACTCTGACACTTGGCTGACATTGACGTTTACGGTTTCTTTTTCTAAATATTTTCATTATTTTTTGAGTTTTTATTCACAAATTCTACTTGATTTTGTTCTTTTGTTTAACCTGCTGTCTGCAGTACTAATTATATAGTTATAAATAATCTTTTCATCGATCAAGAACTGAAGGAATAGGCTGGAAGATAGTAAAAATGTGTAAAACGCTTAAAAACGTATTAGAAAGCGTTGACTCGTCCACAAATTCGTGAAAATAAATTAGTCCAGATGTTTGTAAAAAGGTCTTTAATTACTTTGAGAAGTTTCCTCATATCAGTAATTTTCAGGTTTGTAATATGTATATTATGATAATAAATAGATTAAAACTTATATTTCAGGAAACAGCGCGGGCATTACAGATTGTTCTAAATCAGTTTTAAAATATAAAGAATGTTTATAACAGGTTTAAAAGTTGTATTAGTAGAGAATGGTGGTAATGGAATATTGGTAATGGGACCAAAGATCAAATAACACTTGAAATATATAATATGTACAATAATTGTAAGTAGTTTTTATGAATCTGTTTGATATCTATTGCATTGTTTTTATATTTCTTGAAATATTTATTCTTTTACTTTACAGGATACACAAAAAATAACCAAAAATACAGTTACTCAGTAAAAGCACTTAAGGTTTGTAATAGATGTAGTTAGAATATCAAACACCAAACCAAACCAAAAATGATGTTTTATTTTACTGGTATTCCTCACCTTTGAAAGGAAAGTCATTTCATAAATAAGCAGAAGGAAATTGTATAGTAAATACACTCTATATTAATAATTCTTTTTTATACTATACTTGTTAGTTGACACACTATCACTTACTAGGTATAACATTTAGTACTGATTCCAAACCTATAGTGGTGGTTGTAACATATTCTGATGTGTTTCTGGCAATTTAAAATAAGTTAATATTTAAACAAACATTTCTGGCTTTCCTGACAGGAGTATGAACACAAATTTAATAAAGGTGGATAATGTTCTGATTATTACAGTTTGCATGGATGTTTTTGTATATTGTTATTTTTAATAAAGTATATTTAATGAGTTTTTGAGTATTTCTTTTTCCCTCAGAGGATTGTGTTCTCATCTTTATATATAAATTTTCATAAATTGTATGTTCAAAATTTATTACCTTATAACTTTTTGCTAAAGACTTTGTAGTTGATACAGTTTAACAGTGTATAAAAGGAACTATTTAAATAAGATGTTTGAAAATATATAGCTGTTTTTGCACAAATCAATTCAATTTGTGATTAACTGTACTGAAATAAAAACAAATTAAGCGAAATGGGGTGATCTCAACTATAACATGAAACGCATTATCCTATTTCCAAGTCTTCTATTAATTTCACTTATTAAACAACTTTAATTATTCAACAATCTTGATAATTCTAGGAACTCTTAGATATCGTCAAAAAAATGAAAACAAAAATTCAGTTCCTATGGTTCTTACGTCCCTTTAACTGAAATATAAGAAACAGGGGAGTTCATATTCTCACTGAGAAAGTTTATAAAATACCTTTAAGAAAAATCTCTTCGGATCTGCGGTAAAATACCTTTATTCTTATTAAATAATTTCAATAACCTATGCTTTTATTTATGACAACCTCCTAATAACCTAACTTTAACGTCAACTTGACAATCCTAAAAAATATTATTGTTAACCAAAGAGTAAATCAATTTGTGAATTCGCTAACGCCAACTTATTTTTTATTAAAAAAAAATTACCAATTTTCGTAACTAGGTCGGCTATATATATAGTATAGTATAGTAATATAATATAGTATATAAATATAATAATATATATACTATAGTATAGTAAGTACAGTAAATAATTTTATTAGTAAATTTTTGATTCCATGGCATTTAATAATTTAAAAATGGCCGAAAATGATCTTTTTTTATTTAGTTATTAACAATCTATGAAAACAAATTTAATATCTTTGGATTATGTAAAGTGATCAGAAAGGAAGCCAAAAATGCAATAATATAAGGATGTTCCATTAAAAAAATTGTCCCAATCCACTTTTTTTCACACAGTTTTTTGAAATATATCCAATTGTTCTTTAAACATATAGCGAAAAACAAAAACGCAGTAATCGTTTTAGTTCTTCGCTATATAGTTATCGCAGTAGTTATTAGGTTCATTTTAACCCATGAATTCCATAGGTTAGTTTTTTTGGCTCACCCTAATACCCATACATACACATACATATACACGTACATAGTATTCCGGCTTATTATGAACTACTGATCTGTCTGTCAGTATTTGCGTATTCCGGTATACTTTATGATGTTCGTTTTCCTCTAATTCTTGTAGCCTATATTCATAATTTTTTTTTCAGGGTTCTTGATTTTCGGTTGATTTCAAGGTTCGTTATTATAGAAGTTGTATTATAATGTTTTTTTTTAATAATTCAAAACTGGCCGATAAGAGGGGCAAACTTCCCGACACTCACTTGCAGGACCCTGTATTTATTCCAAAAACAATTTGCCTTAAATTGAAATTAATAAGCAAAAACTTCTTTCAATTTTGTATCTGGCATGATATCATTAATAATTGCAATAGAAATGGCGCAAAATAGTATGGCGAAAAAATAGTATAAAATAAAATATAGATTTTTTTTTCATTAAAATTAAATTTTTTAGTGGCAATAAATTATCGCTTTCTTAAACATTTTTATTAACATAATTTTCCTGGTGGAACAATAATTAACACAAACAGGAAAATCGTAATAAGCGAGACGCGATAATAAAATTTCGAAGAATGACTTTAATTATGGCAAGATTAAACTGGCTGTATTCAAATTCCTCCTCATTATTTTACTGAGCTGCTTATTTATAAGACCGTCTTAAATCTATGTCGGAGATTTAATTGACATTTCTTAAGCACGGTAATTTTATCCGTTATTACGTTGGCCGTTAAAAGAAGCGTTAATTAGTTTAATGAAATAATGCCAGAATATGCTTCAATTAATAAAATTATGAAAACCTCTCTTATGATATTTTACAAGAAATTTTCTTGCGTTACACCAAAACTCTTAATCCAATGCAAGATCATTGCGAATAAGTTGATAAAATATATAAAAAAGCTAAAAACATAAAATTTTAAAGCGTACATTATCCCACACCCAACAATTTAATATTGGAACGCTTACTGGATTTTAGTACATTAAAAAGAGACTGTATGTTATAGTGAGAATAGGCGCGATTCTCACTACTCTCAATACTGTCGAACTTCTTAACTAAAATTTATAAACGGTGTCTCATATACAATTCAGTTATGTTAAAAATTATTAATAATTGTTCGCATATTGGAGTGATATCTGGAGTGTAGGCGTACAACACGAAGATAGAGCGTTCTGGATACAGGAGGAAACTGATAAATGGGCAAACGTCCAACCCATGAAAAACATACAAATTAGAACAGACGACATCCAAACGACATCCATGAACAGACATTATCCATGGACTCAAAACAATAAAAAAACTGGGCAGCCCCCGGACCCGATGGGATTCATAATTTCTGGTGGAAGCAGATATCATCCAGTTACAATGCCCTCGCACGCCAATTTAGCGAATCTCTTATTAAACCTGCGCGTATCCCAGAATTTTTCACTAGAGGAATCACAATAATGTTAACAAAAAAAAGAGACCTACAAGAACCAAAAAATTATAGGCCTATCACCTGCCTTCCAACGGCAGGTGATATAAATACTTACCTCTATAATGATAAAAAAATAGGCGATTACGTCTCGCAAAACCAAATAATGGCATGCGAGCAAAATGGATGCAGTAAAGGGGCAAGAGGATGGAAGGAGAACCTAGTTATAGACACAATCATTACAAGACACGCTAAAATAAAGACTCGAAATGCGTCTGTGGCTTGTACAGATTACCGCAAGGCATTCGATTCCATGCCCCATGCATTCTTGGCTACTTCGTGTGCTAGAAATATATAAAATCGACAAACAAATTACAGATTTTTTAAAACATCTCATGAAGACTTGGAGCACAATTTTACAAGTCAATGGTAAAAATGAGGTTTACATCACTGAGCGGCTCCCTATCAGGCGAGGAATATTCCAAGGAGATAGCCTTAGTCCACTGTGGTTCTGTTTTACTCTTAACCCCCTTAGTAGCATGCATAACAGTAGCCCACACGGATACAAAATAAGTCCTAACACCACAATCACGCACCTTTTCTATATGGACGACCTTAAATTATATGCTAGGGGTCCCCTAACCAAACCAACTTGGCAGCCAATTAGAAACAGTAGCAGCTTTTAGTTTTACTTTACCAATCGTGGTTTCAATGTGAGCCGGCCATTGAGCCGGCCATCACAATTTATTAAATTTTTAAACTGTATATGTTAATTATTGTGTCATGTGGGTTATATTGTATGAGTATATTTTTAAGTTAAATGTTATGTGTTATCACCTGTTATTTTATGCACCCATATTTTAATACAAGTTTGACGAAGGAAATGTACGTTTTGTGGCTTTGAAAAAGGTTAAAACTGAACCGAAACGTTAGTTATGTAATGTAAGTTATGTAATGGAGTTATGTAACACCTCCGAAACCCAGAAAAAGTTTAATATTGACCAAAAGCCAAGAACCCTTTAAATAAAAAAAAGGAATTATGTAATATGTAATTATGTTAAGTAATGTTCCAAGGTAACTAGTACCTATATAATAATTTTATTTACTTTTCTGTCAGTGTTACGTTAGTGTTTATATATTTACATGTAATATATTTTAAGTAATTTCTTATAATCTATTATTAGTTATCTTAAAAATACTGTTTTTCTATACTTAAATATTATATGATTTCTTAGTAGTGTTAAGCTCACTATGACCAGACAGCTAGTTGCTTGTTTTAATTGGTCACACAGAATTTTCCCACTAATACATTAAAACTAAAAAAATTGTCTTTTTATTTTCTTCATCATGAATATTTATATAACTATCATATCACATAATATACAATATTGGATGTATACCGTATACCTATAATTTTCAAGATTTTATTGCTTGGTGTAAATTCTGTATTCTTATTGAGTTGACCACTCTATATAAAGTCGATACTCCATGTTTTATAGTTTTTTTTCGAATAATATTTCACAATACACATTCTATGATTATTGCCTTTTTACTGCTTCCTTATTTGTTGTCGTCTAGATGACATTCTTCTCTCTTCTTTTTTTTTTCTAGTCTGCTACGTAAATCAGTGTCTGACAATTCGTGCCTTTACTTATAAATTTAATTTATTCTCTGACACTCGTCCAACCTGACTATAGTGACTATGTCTTAGTCTCAAAGACTTAATTAACAAAACTAACTTTATAATTATCTACAACAATAAAAAAAATATTCACTCTAAATTTATGATATTTAAAGATTTTAAAAATTTATGAAACGATTCAAAACTAAATAAACCAAAAATAGTATTCATTAAATATTAAACATATTCTTCTAAATACTTCGCTTTATGTGTTTTTCTGTGTCATGGAGTAGAACTTGTGTCACTGTAAATGGTCCCTTATATTTAGTAGCACTTTTCATATAGACCATGTCTCCTATCTTATATGTGATCCCTTTAAATCTATATGTTTATCATAATTTTTTTTATACTTCCTTTGTTCCATTTCTATATGTTCTTTGACCTCTTCTCTCAATTTTCAAAGTCTCCATTTTATATCTGAAAACTACAGTCGCATAAAACTGTAAACAAATTAGTAATTGAATAACGGGGAGAATGGGTAAACCACAATTGGTAGGTTTTTGCAAGTCTTCAATTATAAGAGGTAAAATAGTTTCTGTAATTGTAGCCGTGTTAAACCTATATCGGCATTTAAATTCCCCCTCGCTAAACATTTCTATTGGATTTCCTGCATTCCGTATATATCTTTTTGGAACTCGAAAACGATTTTCTTCTTCCGCATGGTCCAAAATATCCTCAAACTTTTCTAACATATTTAAAACTGTTTAATTGTTCCAGACAAAACGGATTTACTTTGTTTACTAAAAAAGTTAGGTTAAGAAACTATCGGGACTATCCAATCCACAGATCACATAAACTATCCAAAATGACTCTCAAGAGCCCAAGACTGTCTTGGCGTCTCGAGACGCGACTATAAATACGGGCCTTAGTAATATAAAAAAATCCGTATAAATTTCACCGTGAACCAAAGTGACAAAAAAATGCAATAAATTTAACGATATTTCAGTCCAAATACGAGTATATCAGATGTTCTCAAATGAGGACGCTGGGCGTTAATGGGTAATAGTAATCTAAAATGATTAAAAAATCTACACTGAATAAAATTAATTTAAATATTATTTTTGTAGAAATTTAAAAATAACGTAGGAGGTGGCAACATTGGATTCTCTCGGAGCACTGTAAACAAATTTCCGGAAACTAAACAAGCGGTTCTTAAAAGTTTTTAGATATTTTCTGGAAAATGTCAAGAAAAATTTAAAATTTTCAACATTTTTTTGCAAAAAAACCAGTATACTACCAGTTAAAATACTTGCACTTATTTCTGAAATACCCTGTATATAATAAAGAAATAGTGGAAAAATTAATTATGAATAATTAAGTTCAAGGTACTGATTAGTGATGGGAAAAATGATTAATTTCAATAATCGAGTACTCGAGTTTCAAGCGATTTCAATAATCGAGCGATCGCTCGAGCAAACTATCGCTTGTATTTAAAAAAAAACGGTTTTCCACCCATCTCTTTTCACCCATCTCTTGTTGTACACGCCATGCAGTAAGTTGCGTACGCAGAGCACATATTCTTTCGGTGATGAATGCCAAGTAGCAAGACGACTAGTTCGCTTGATTTTTGATTTAGTTTATTTCAAAGCATTGTCGATATAGATCGTAAAATATTGTCACACACATACGCAAAGGATAACGTAGTATAAATTTGCTACATGCAATGTATGCAGAAAATTCGCTCGGCTTTTTATCGCGTATGTCACATTAAAATCGGATTTCAATTTATTTCATTCTAGGATCGCTTGCGTTCGTCGCTCGTAACACGTTCGCTCATAATCGAGCGATGTCGGTTATTTCAATAATCGAGTAATCGAGCGAATTTTCGCTCGAGTTATCCCATCACTAGTACTGATGTATTTTTAACTGCATATAAAATACATAACACAGAATTTATGAATTTAATGTGGATATACATTTTTCGCTACTTTATTCCAGCAGCGCATCACAAAACCCACCGTAAAGATAAGGTAATTACTTTGGTGGTATTATCAAGTAATTCGGTCCATAAATTTGAAAATGCAAGTTAGAAACTTAGTTAGCTCTTTAAACCGGCTTTAATTGTTACCTAAGCGAACAGTTCCTAACAGACTCTCTTGAACGGCTAAAGCATCTTTATAATGGCTCTCTCTAATTTATTGATTTTAAAAAGCGGTTTTACGAGACCTACTTTAAAAAAGTTCGTCGGCATCTTCATTATAGTAGTTGATTGAATCTAAACGCGAATAGTGGACCAAAGCGCATTCTCATTAAAATTGATAAAGTTTCTTATTTGAATTTAAAGTTTAAAGTTGAAATTGTAAGAAAATAACTCATATTACACTGTTTTTATAATTTATTAAAACCGGAATTAGTGGCTAAGTTTAAAATTACATGATTGTTCGCGCTGGAGCATTTTAATTCTATTCATCAATTTTAGTTTCTGTACCCTTAACATAATATTTTGGACGCAAATACAGGCTCCTAGACTAAACAACTAAGGAATTTTGTTTAAGTGCAAACCTAAATTACGTACTAGGATATATTTCAGGAAAATATTTTAAGTTCTACAGGGTGGCTCAAAAAGTGTGAGTATATCGGGAGATTTTTTTTTAAATAGAACATAATATATTGTTATGGATATTATTGCAGTTTTGGCTTCCTTTCAGATCCTTTTACTCTAAACTATATTAGATATTTACTTTAGGTGGTCTATACTTATTTTGATATAAATATCGTAATCTAAAAACATACAGGGTGTTCAAAATCCTACGCCAAAGTTTCTAATAAATAAAATTGTTATTCTTTTTTTTTTTAAACGGAACACCCTGTATATTATTTTTTAATCATAAAAAATGAACAATTTTTGTACTTACAGTATTTCAAAATTTTTAACGGTTTTGCAGAAATTCGCGGTTTTATATTTTATATGGCATTTTCCACAGTAAATTTTTATCAAAGCCACCCAGTGATTTTTGTACCAAAGTAAGTATAGACCATTTAAAGTAAATACCTAATATAGTATATATATATATATATATATATATATATATATATATATATATATATATATATATATATATATATATATATATATATATATATATATATATATATATATATATATATATATATATATATATATATATATATATATATATATATATATATATATATATATATATATATATATTATTTATATTATATATATTATATATATATACCTAATATAATACCTATATACCTATATTTTTTCATTTCAAAACAGTTCTTGTATTTGTAGTAATTTTTTAAGGGTTGAAAAATATATATTATTTTTATTTATTTATTAATATCTCTGAAATTATCGAAATATATTTACTCATATCTTAGAATTATGTAAAGTGATCTGAAAGGAAGCTCAAAATGCAATAATATACAAGGTGTTTCATTTAAAAAATGCATCCGGATCCACTAACACTTTTTTGAACCATAATGTAAAAGTTAAAATATTTTCCTGAAATACATCCAAGTGCATACTTACGTTCGCACTTAAACAGAATTTCCTAGTTTTTAATTCTAGGAGTTACAGATGCCCCACGCATTATTACCAAACCCTGCATGTGTTTTATAGTTATAAAAATCACGACCATTTAGGATTTTTATTATATAAATTTAAAAAGTTTATCATAAAACCATATTTTTGTATCAATCATCATTTTCTTTCAATCATAAATTTTTATTCTGTTGTTTTGCTATTAAGTTTTCGTTTTCCTCTTGCTCTGGTTGTATAAGGCTAGACACGGTTGTCGCGGGGATAAAGGGTGCGGCAAAGGTATGATCAAGTAGGCTGGACACACACAGAAAGAGCAAAACAGTTTCTGAACTCTGAACAGCTCTATTCTTCTCTGAACTGACCCATACGATAACTAGGTAATTATTGTGTTATAGGTGTGTTTCTCAGGTATTTTTTAATATTTATTAGTTTTACATAAGGCAATAGCGATTAAACAATACAAAAATGCTTCGTAAGCTATCTGGAAATATATACCTTTCATTTAGAAAAAGAATAATAAAAATTAAGATTATTTTATGTTCATTTTCTCTTATCAGTTTAATATTTAAACCCTTAATTTAATAGTTTGAAAAATGTTTTAAAAGTTTTCAAGATAAGAAAAAAAAACGTATATCTCCAGTTACTTTCCGTAACTCGTGCTCTTAAAAGTTTCATATGGAATAAAAATAAAAAGAAGTAAAACGGAAAGAAAGTTTTATCATACCTGTTCGACTGATCCATAATATCGTCGCGAGAAAACTCCTCTTCTAGATATTAAATCACTGGCCGTCGAGCTGAAAAAGAAAAAAAGAAACGAATCGTTAGAAATCGTAAGAAATTGCAAAGAGTTTTATTATAAATCTGTGTATTCGAACCGTTCAAGTAGACTAAAAACTCGAAGCCATTCTTCAGCCAAACGTCCGATAACACGTAACGAGTTTCAAGATAAATATAAACTGCAGGAACTTAAATGGAACGACCCGTGCTACGAAGTTGGTTGGTGTTGTTTTAGTAGATTAAACTTATACGGAGTTAAACGCTTATTCACACTCTCGCTTTACAAAACAAAACAATTTTAGAAGATGAGATAGACTAATGTGTAAGAGGAGACAATGTTAAGAATTAATTTCTAAACTATTTATATATTGTTTTATTGTTTTAATTTATTACAAAATAAAAAGATTAAAAGTCTTGTTTAAATATAAGCGAAAATTCGCTCGAGTACTCGATTATTGAAATAACCGACATCGCTCGATTACGAACGAGTGACGAACGCAAGCGATCCTATCGAGCAAATTTGCTACATACATTGCAGATTGGCAATATTTTATCAGTATTTTTGGTAAAATATCTTCAAACAACAGATTGTTCTTTTTATTGGGACCGCATTGTTAATTATAGGACTATACGACGTTATGTGTTACGTAACTGTGTGACAAAATTTTACCACCTACATCGACATGATCAAGCGAAAGTACTCGTCGCTTACGCAGCTTACTGCTGGCGTTACGAGTACAAGTACAAGCGATGGCAACGGCGAAAAACCGTATATTTAAATACGAACGAAATTTCGCTCGAGTGATCGCTCGATTATTGAAATCGCTTGAAACTCGAGTACTCGATTATTAAAATACATCGGTTTTTCCCATCACTAATTTTTAAGAGCGAAATGAACTTGCCGTCAATAATTTGCAATTTTTTCAATTAATTATCATTTCTTTTTGAAGGTATTTTTCGATATGACAAGCCGGCTTTGGTGATTATTGTTAACTATATACTACTATGAACTGCCCATCATGTTCGACGTTTGTGAAATGCTTCCCAGGAGGGTTAGAGGTCACGAAGCGGTCACCAGCTTCTTTAAATGAACTTCTCTTGGTCCTTAAAGAAGAACGGGAAAACATAACGCAATATGATATATGAAGCCTCAATAACAGTATAAACGGACCTATACAGGCAGTTATAGCAGCCAAGGGAGGCCATACAAAGTATTATGGTAGTGTTTACATTTTTTTTTCTGTTTGTGTGATGATGTTTTCTTTAATATCGTTTGTTCTGTTATTGTTATTAATTTTTATTAAAACCCAGGCTGTAACGTTAGTCTTTAAAGTTTTTTTATTAATTTGGTATAGAATATCCAATGCAGCGTATTATGTCGTTATGACAATAGTCACCAAAACCATCTCGTCATATTAAAAAATTACATCAAAATGTAATGATAATTGACAAAATTGCAAATTGATCGTGATCAGTTCATTTCGCTCTTAAAAATTAACCAAGGCATGTATTGACATGATTCAAAAAACAAAATGCTCAGGAGACATGGTTCTGACCGTAAAATTATGTTTCAGGAACATTTACAAACGAAATTATTGGACAGGGTTTTTAAAATTAGGGTAAAAAAACAACCCCTCGATTAACCCTGTATAATATGCCAAGTACTAAAGTTTATAAAGAACTGAGTTAAGAATTAAAGATGATATAATTACATACAATTTGCTAAAAAAAAACTATGAAAATAGGACTAAAAATAACACTAAAGTTAAGCTTTAAATTTGACCAAAAATTTCTCCGTTGCATTTTTTGCATCTGAGTGTATTAAGATCATTTTTCAGATTCTCATCATAAAATAGTTCCTTTTCAGTAGAACGATAATGTTTGCCGAAACATTTGCCGCTTGAATGTCATGATATTGATATCAGTTGCTCTGGAACGAGAATTCACTTAATGGTTCCGGCACACCCAATTATTCTCTTGTAATATAGTGGATTTTTTGGTTCTTCCTTTTTAAGTTAGTGAGAAATACTAGAATCAAGAATAAGTTTAAATGATGACGTATAAAAAATTAATGTAAGATAAACTTAACTTTCTGTACACAATTAGCAAAGTGAGTATGAAGCATATCCTTCTATTTATTGGAGACGCTCAATTATTGTTGAAGCGACTATAAACAATTAATTTTTTGTTTTAAACAACTTTCAAATTTATCTAATTTCTACGTTTCGAAACGTCATTAAGTTTAGCTGACAATAGTTGGCTCAGTCGGTGGGATTTTATTTAATTGGACTCGCTTGACTATTGTTTCGGCATAGCACTGCTTTTAGTATTTATTTATGCTAAGTACGTATATCTACAACTTTTTCGTATTACTGTTCACAAAAACTGGTTATATTTCTTCTTCTAAATATGCCATTCACAATGTAGGTGACCATTACTTTTAGAAATTTATGATTAATTAAAAAAAGAATATTCTTGCACTAATATACGAAATAAACGCATTAAGATCAGTAAAATTAGTGATTAATATCATTCAAAAAGATAAGCACCCGAACGGAATTTCAGCGTATTAAACTATTCTATGAGTATTACATGATTTCGTACATGTTTTTTATTCGAATATTTCATTAATAGGAGCATTTATGAAGTGAAATTCTAATTAAACGGGAAAAATCGACCATTTACTATTTCGATAAATTTTGGCTAAATCCAATATCGGTTTTGCTCCAAATGAGGTTCGAAATTTAAAAAGAGAACGATTTCTTTTAAACTTTAAACGAACCTCTATTCCTGTAGAATAGTTCGAATAAAATTTTTGCGAAATTTATTCATCTCAGAATATCACAGATCGGATAAAATTCAATTCTGGAAATAGTCTAAATCGATGGAAATTTAATATAGAAAATTTAATCCCAGTTGAAGATCTTAACCGAGAAGTAAAATCAAAAATGTTAAAACTTGCTAAGGAATTTCCTCATTTTTTCATAAATCTAGAGGTAGAAATACGATTTTTATCTAGAGATAAGTGTAAAATTAAGGCCGCTGATGAGATACTTGTCTATGCGAATGTGTATAGTAGTAACATAACAACCAAACTTATATGGAATCACTCTTTATCTCTACTAAATTTCTTGCAAGGATAAACATTGATATACAACTTGAAGATAAGGTTTTTTGTTGTAAATAAACATGATAGTAAAGAATAAACGACTGGACTGCCGCGATTTTTTTTTTTTTTGAATTTTGTGTTCAGTAGTAAAATCACGACTGCCCGGTAATTTTCATTCGATCGATCAAAAAAAATTTAAAAAATGCCTTATGTTGGATTAACAGATGTACAGAGTCAAAGAATTATTGTTTTCGCCGAACAAGGAATGCTAGAGACGCAGCAGAGACAGTAGGCATTACCCAGGGTGTTGTGTCGAAAACATATGCAAGGTACTTGGAATTAGGAACACACAAAGATAGGCCCAGATAAAGTCGTTAAAAAGTCACAACTGAACAACAAGACCGCCTTGTTCAATTCCAAATTGCTAGAATAAATCCCAGTGTTTCTCATCCAGAGCTACAAAGACAACTTTTGGCAGCTAGAGGTGTGAACGTTTCAGTTGAAATCATAAGAAAAAGGCTTCGTGCTCGAGGGTTTTACAGTAGGAGAGAGTTACGGATCCCACAGTTATCTCGGTAAACTAAAATTGATCGGTTAAATTGATGCCTTCAACATAAAAACTGGACAACTGAGAATTGACAAAATGTTCTTTTTTCGGATGAGACCAGACTTGGCCTAAGATCAGATAACCATCGAATTCGGAGCCCCAGGAAGACGAGCGAGACTTCAGGCTGCCAAATCTGTACAAAGATATAAAGGAGGAACTGTAATGTTCTGGGAAGGTATTAGACTGAGAGCAAAAACTCCATTGTTACTACTTCAACACGCTATAACGGGTCGGAGATATGTTGATTTGGTGCTAGAACCAATCGTTAGTCATTGGAGACCTGAAATTGGGGACAATTTTAACTTCTTGTGCGATAGTGCACCTCCCCATACCAGCAGAGTGACTAGAGAACGTTTTGAAACGGAAGGTGCTAGTTTTGGACTGGCCTGCATGTTTACCAGAACTAAACCCTATCGAACATTTGTGGGACTAGCTCAAAAGAAGGGTTAGAGCTCGTCGAAACAATCCAGGAAATCTTGCACAGCTTATTGATGCAGCATTAGCAGAATGGGAAAACATACCCCAAGACAACATTGATAATTTAATCAGAAGCATACCAGCGCGGATAGAAGCTTGCATAAGGGCTAGAAGTGGCAACAAGGAACATTAAAATTATCAATTTTCTATTTTGTTTTTGCTTTTTGGCCATTAAAAATTTAAATCTTAATTTTGTTTTAGAAAACAAAAAAATGTCATTTTGTTTATTTTGGGTTAGGTTATTGCTATATGGATTAATTTCCATTAAAAGTCATTGTTAAGGACTGAGTTTTATTCATAAACACAAAATTTTCATACGATTCAAAAATTATGAAAAATAATAGATGACTCCATATAAGTTTGGTTGTGTGTATTTAGAATAATGAACTCAAAGAAAAGATTAGATCCATGCTCTTGAAACTCGATTTTTTATACAATTACTTTTTCTGGACTTTTGAAGTTAACATACCTCTTTTTGCATTTTTTTTCTTTCAATTGCCTTCTTTTTTGGTTTTTATACAAATTTACTTCTATTTTGTAGGTACTTGTAATTTTGTACTATACCTTTGTATATCATCTCAAGTAGCAAAAAGAAATTCTAAAAGGATTGAATTATTTTATAACAGTCGAATAGCGTTGTCTTAAGGACTGCTTGATTTTATTAAGCGTTTGGTTTCGACCATTCTGTTTTTTAATAAAAGTTGTCATATTAAACTATTTTCTAGTAATTTTTACAACGTATCCTATAATGCATTAAACGATAATTTCTTTTAGTATGATATAACACTTAATAAGACAATGCTATATAACAAACATATTATTTT